CCGGTCCGGTTACCGGTTACCGTTCGTTACGTAGAGACGACGACGAGTACGTACGCGACGAGAGAGAAGAAGAAGAAGAAGAAGAGAGAGACGAGTAGAGAGAGAGAGAGAGAGAGAGAGAGGGTTTTTTGCTGTTTTGGCAAAGGAGGTTCGAATCATGTAGAGAGAGAAAATGAGGAAGCAGAGAGAGCACATAGGTTTTTCTACAAAACCTTCATCATATCCATCCGTGCAATGTGATTGTAGAGTAAAGCCCGTAGGCGTTCGATGAAAATCTCTACGAGGATTGAAAATTTATTTTCAATATTTAAAGCGTAAAAAAAAAATGTTGATGCGGTAGCTCTACGTGCACTAAAAAATATTGAAAATGGATGGTGTGTCGCAAAAGGATGCGGTTTGTACGGAGCTTAGGCTTTAGACAATCAAATTAGAGCCTACTTTCAAATAGTATTGAGAAATGCGGTTAATATTCGAAATCTTTACGACAGCTTTAAAATATTTTTTTATATTTATTTATAAATTTTAAAGCTTAAAAAATAGTGTAATTTACAAATTTATAAAAACTTGAAAACCTTAAAAATTGACGTTCCAAAAATATGTTAAAAAATATATTATTTTTAAAACTTGAATCTATTTTTTCTCGTGTCCATGCTTTGTGATGTCGAGATGATCAATTTGAAGATATTTGGGCATCAAAACAACTTTCTTCTAGTGAAATTTTTGAGGTAGGCTCAAATTTCATTTTTTAAAACCTTGGCTCTTTATAAACTTTTTTTGTCCCAAAATGTAATATTTTTTGAGGTTTAAAATATGTTTTTTTTTTTTAACCAGTTTCTATGCTGCCAGTCTTTTAATGTGCGAGCCTATTAGTAAATCTATTTTGTAGATGGATTTTTAGACTTAATTTTTGATGACATGTATTCTCTAAGATGGAGATCATGAATATGAAAAAAAGAGTAAATTTTAAAAACTACAAAAAATAATTCTAGTAAAAAAACATTTGGACAGTTAGTTTCTATTGTTTTTAGATAGAACACTACTTGTACCCATCTTTAAGATGGATGCTTTAGAATTTTTGGAGTGCATATGTAGTCATGTGGTCCCGCATGAAACAATTTACCTTTCCTTTTATATTCATATCGAGATAATCAATCGGATGATATTTCACAATTCAGGTGAGTTATAATGGTGTACTTTTAATGATACTCTTACAATCACCAATTTTGAAATTTAAAGAACAAGAGTAATTGTGACCTTCGCATACTTATTTTTATAAATAATCCCATAAATTTATAAAAGGTAATCAAAATACTCATGAGAGAGTTATTCAACATTTTACCCAGTGCAATTATTTCAACTCATGATTATGTGCAGGGTGTTTTGAAATTAAATCGCTATATAATATTAAAGGGGAGTGATTTCATGTCAAAGTATTATTATAACAATATTATAAAACAAAAATTTTAAAAAATTATATTCGTGGCAGTTGTATGGCCTACAAAATTACAAAGACCTTCTCTTCATACCTATAATCAATCAACTTCTGAAAAAATAAAATTCAATTTGCACTTAAGATAGGGTCAAAATGAGTACCCTGGGGTTGAAGTCGTAGTGGTAGCATCACTTGTGCCTCAGCTAAGGTCTAAGCTATCATTATCACATAATGTATTAAAAAGCCGCTAAAATTTCAAAAAACGGGTAGGGCCTTGGCGTTCCCACTTAATTACCCAAAAAAAAAACGAGTGCCCCTACAACAACGAATCTTGATCATCGATTTGGTNAAATTCAAAGTCTAGGTCTTTACGAATTCAATATATATATATATATATATATATATATATATCGAGTAGGANAGACACGACGAGGAGGAGAG